GAAAAGCACCGTGTACTCTTCTCCCATGTGTGCTTCCTGGCCTCCTCCAAAGAAACGTCCATCCCTCTGTCCGTCTGCCTCTCTCACTGGGAACGTGGGGCTGGTGAACAGGGCACAGACTGACACTGAGCAGAGGTGAGATGTCCTCCTCAGCAGCCTTAGCCTGATCCTGAGAGGTTCCTGCAGTATTGCTTAGTGGGAAACTGCACCAATGTGGTTATTATTCTGTGGAAAGCTAGAAAAAGAGAGAGATCTGCTTTGGGGTGGTCACGTAACCTTCGGCAAAGGGCAAGATAGCCCTTACTGGGACTCTGAGCACTCCTGAGCATCATTTCCTCACTCAGAGCTGCATCAAAGGAGCTCAGGGATGCTGTTCTAAACCAGTCTGGGGTACCACATGCAATCACAGCACCGGGTGCCGGTGCTGTGCCCAGAGGGACGCCCAGGATTCTCCATCCCAGGGTGATGCCCGTGGTCTCGATGGCAGAGCTGCAGTTTGCCCTTCTCCTCCCTGAGCTGTCACCCCCTGGGGAAGGCGCTGGGAAGGTTTCTGCAGCTCAGAGGAAGCACCAGCCCCCAAGGCTGGTGGTTGAAGAATGAGTCCGATGCACGTTGTGCGATTTGGGGAATTGCAGGGGAGGGGGAGAGCGCGGTGGAGGAAACGACAGCTAGGAATATTGGGGGTAAAATAACATCAACAACGAGAAGAGAGCAAGTGGGAAATCAGCCAGGGCTGCCTGTCAGCTTGCTGATTTAAGATTCGCTTTGAAAAACCTATTCCCCTTCAGGGGAAACACGTGCCTGCCCCGCCGGCAGCCGACCCCGGCGCGCTGCTCCGCGAGAGGCTGCGTCGTGCTCCCTGGAGGAGGCGTTTGGGCAGGAAAGTAAGTGATTTCAAGAGCTGTCGGTGTGTTTACAGCAAAGCGGAGTTTTGCGGTGCCAAATCACTCGGGGAGAAGAGCCCGGCCGGCAATTCTCACTCCCGCAGCCCCATTGCACCTGGACGTGTGGGGCTGTGGGTTGCTCGGGGTTTTGTGCTGGAAACGTGGCCAGGACTTTGTCCCGGGGTGGTCACAGAGAAGGTCCCACGGTGTCCCAGGGTGAGGACTAAGCCTTGGTGTGGGAATCCAGGCACATCACCCCGGGAAGAGCTTCAAAGGCTCTCCTTCCTTAAATAACTTTGTTCCTTATAGCCTCTCTTTTGCATTTTCTTTTTTTTTTTTCCGAACACCTCATAATCACACTAATTAATACATTCTGGGATAATTCTTCCTGGCTTCCATCAAATTTAAATCAGCATTTATTAGCATATTGCTATGTCTGTGGTGTTTGTTAAAGTCCGGCATAACCT